ATCGGAGCGTAACAAGGTGTTCCCGTCGGCGACGCAAGATTCATCTTTATAACAATAAATAAAAAAAAATGTTGTAACAATTTTGGAAATGAAAAAAAACAAAAAAACGTGGGTGAGTTAGTGGTAGTGGTAACACAAATTAATTGGTTTTCTTGTGCCCGAGTTCAAACTCTTTTGAGACGGATAGTTATTCTTTTAAATCGGAATATCTAAAGACTGACTTCGGATATCGAGGAGATTATGAGTCAAAGTTTCGGAACTCCCACTAGTTATCTAAAATTTTATCTTAAAAAAGAAAAAATGTAGCCTTATTCTTATCTGATTAAGCTAATGATTTTGATTAGGACGTTTAGAGTTTGTCCATGTCATCAATATTTCTGTAAGTAAAAGGCAAAATCTAATGTTATGTATCTCTTAATTATCTTATAATTTCAATTGGATTCCATGTAAAAAGATAATGAAAGAAGCGTAGAAAGTGACAATAAAATGTGATAGAGGATCTCAGAGGGATACATCACTCACTTCTAAATTGGGGTCAAAGCATCTACTGTTTTACTTATAGTAGCAAAGTTGAAGTTATGCTTTTGTATTTTCCATTATTCTTGGCCTCTTCTTCTAGCTTTCATATCATTTCATATTTGGTAGGACATCATTCTATGCAGTTTATAAAGACAAGTCAGTTTCATATACATACATAGAACTTAGTATAGAACTAAGAGATATGGAAAACGAGTGATACAATTAAGAAATACGTTAACTTTGTAATGACCACAAATGATATTTTGGTTTTCAATCAAAGTATGATTTCCACATCAAATGAGCTGAGAGGTTGTTTTCAATGTCTACTTTTTGATTGCGTACTCCTCAAAGACAAAAGCTAAACTATTCACTCTCAGTTACAGGAGATAAGGTACAGAGACAAAGAGTGGTCACACCATGGGAAACCAAAAACAGCCAAGAATGGATAGTCATTGATGAGGTTGCTAAGCTTTCTAACTAGGTGAAACTATTTTTTACACTCTCACTTGAATCAACTGTCTAACCTGTAAAGTCTGTACAATACAATACAATACAACCCTCTATATGAAACTTTTATCGTTTGAACCTTCGACCTATGTATATATAATCGAAATAAATGTTTGCGCACGGTGAGTAACACTTTATGCTTTCAAGAAAGTGTAAACAAAACTTCAACCCATTTGGTTAAGGGTTGCAGCTTTGCATTAACTTTTCAATCTATTGATGGGTTATTAAAAGGTGGGTCTTTAGGTTGTTGCATTGGATGGACTTGTTCAAGGAGGAATCAAAGCTGAAGATAAGGAGTTTGTTGTGTTGATAGAGTTGTTTATGATGCAACTGCTTAAACTAGCCGAGGGAGATCTTAAATTGCAGAGGAAAAAAGAGGTGAACTCAAAGTTACTTACCTAGGAAATCTCTGTTTTTCCTCTGCTTCTTGTGTAAAAATCAATCAGTCAAATGATGTCTTTGAGTTCCTCCTTACAGGTCTGTCGAGTTCAGAGCTTTGTGGAATCGTTGGACAAACTGAGGGCGAGAAACCACGACATGAGCCGCAGTGCAAACCCAAGGGATCAGGAATTGCCAGGTCCCGGGAAGTCCGTACTTTTCTTTTGCTCCAAAGACTTCAACAATCATAACACAACAGTGGAAACTGTTTGATTGAGGATGCTACATAGTTTCTATGATCATAGTTTATAATAATGGTGCATGTATTAATATAACGATACCAAAAGAGTCATTTCATTTCAATCCGTAGATTGGCATGCCAAGGCTGTTAAATTGGTGAAGTAGCTACACTATAGACCTGAACTACTTACTTTTCGTTTTCTTTCTGTTTTCTCTCTTTTTGTGAACTGAATATAAACCTACCAATAGGATTTATACCAGTCTGGTCGAGTCAGTTACTAGCCACATTGCAGTTTAGCATAAGCCTCTCATAGGTTGTGCTTCAATCTCCTTTCACGTTCTCTCGGGCTGTGCCATTTGAACAGTCCTCACCTGCAACACCAGGTGATCCACTTGATAACTGGTTCCCGTTACCAGAATTTGGATAAGGCGTATATCGCGGATTTGGGCTGCGTCGTGAGTTTCGATTCTGAGCAGCCGTTGTGCTCCTTGTCACCTTGGCACGAGCCTTTCTTCCCTGTTAGGTAAATGCCAAAGAAAAGAAAAATAAGGACCAGGGACTCAACTAAACAACACGGAAAGTATAGCTCAAAGTCACAAGAAGGAGGCATGCAATAGATCACCTTCCCCATGCATTTTTCCAAATGAGGAGCGAACCTTCCTGCAACGATTTGTCGCCCACAGTTCATGCAGTTGAACACTTCACTAGCTACAGGAGGGTGAGTCTGACCAAATATATCAACAACATATTTGGTGTTGGTTTCAAGGTTGTTGCTAGGATCAGCGACCTTAGCACGCGCTTCCACTGACAACCTCAACTCTTCTTCTACTACCTCCAAATCTCGATCAAGCCCTAGTCGTGCTATCCTGTGACACTCAGATGCTACATCAGCAATCACTGAATCCACAAGATCAAGGAAAACCTGGGAAGATAGCTGCAGAAAAAACAAAAAACGTAACACTAACTTAGTTTCCACTCGGAAGTTACTTTGAAAAGGAGGAAAAATTGAAATTTAATTCGATTTTCCAATCTTTATCTTTTATATGGGCACCAAGATTCTAACTGCAGTGCTGCTCACAAAAAAAAAAAAATACACATTCTTCACTACAAGAGACACTAGTTGATCAAAGTTACTGGTTTGCGATCAAAGTTTCTAATCCCTGAATTCTAGAGCTCAGAGCAAAGATCCATGCAAGGTTAAGCAGGTAAGGATGCAAACAAAACACCGAATGAGATTGTTATCCACATTTTGTCCACAAAAAAAGTTTTGGTTGTATGCTTGAACTAACTCCAATTCATAATGAACAAATACCTGAGCATGGGAAGATTTATCATCCTCTGCGCCAGACATTGAATCCTCTAAACAACCAGATGCTTAAAATGTCTGCGAAAAAAACATACCAAAACGAAATCGTAAATTGGTGAGCTACAATTAGAGACTACATCTCCATCACGAGCCCTAGAAAAGCGAGTTTCCTCAGAGAAGAAGAAATCATAACAGATCATCGAGAGCGATCACTATCCACCAGATTCAGTTCGAAATCGATTTTACAGAAACGAAATCGTCCACAGAATTATAAAGCTTACAGTATACAGCCGATGTCGCGGCGGTGAACGGAGGAGAGAGAGAGAGAGTTTTCTCTCTGAATCTGTAAATTAACGTCCAATCCTTGCCACGGGCACTGAGGCTTTCTTATTCCATGAAACGGCAAGCTGTTCTTCTTACACCAAAAAAAACGACATGGTTTTCGTTTCACCGTGAATGAGCAACAACCCGCACTCTAGAAATATATAAAAGCCCATATCAGGGCCCAATTCAAATCCCGATCGGCTTCTCTTCTTGTTTGTTACACAGTCTCTCCATATGTTGAGCTCTCTCTTTCAAAGTTATTCAATAGTATACAAGAGGCCCATCTCTTTCTTGATTGTGTTTGTTTCTTTCTCAGATTCCTTGAACATCTCTTTCTTCTTTTTGGTTTTTTCAGAATATTGTTTCTATTTGTTTGGCTTTGGAATGTTACTTGAACAACTCTTTCTTCGATTTTGGATTATCTTCTACTGGATTATTTATGTTTGATTGGAAAGAGTTGCAATTTATAGTTTTCTACAAGGGTATTACCCGCGCCCTGCGCGGGATAATAAAAATGGAAAAAACTTTACAAAAAAAGAGAGCAAAAATACTCTGAAAAGCAGATTAATAATCAAAAGATAACCTAATCAACCAAATACAATTCAAAAAAGAAGAATGTGAGGTTTCATTGCAAAAGGAAAAGTTTACATCTATTGATGTATCCAGATGTTGAAATGAACTATCATTATAAGTTTTACCGGACCAATAATAGTTGGCATTATCAGCTCTTTTTATTTGGATCAAATAAGATTAAAGCATATTAAAAAGTATTCAAAGTACTTTGATGTTTCATTCTTTATTCCTGTCATTCTTTCAAGATATTCAATATTCTTTCTCTCATTTGGTAGTGTCATAAAAATTTGTCGCCTCTGCTCATTCTTCTCAAGAAATACAAGGACTGCCCAATATAACTCACCTTCTTGATTAAGAAAGACCATTTTTCTCATCTCTTTAACACATGCATCAGAATTATGTGTAGAAACTTTCTCTACATCACATAAAAAATCTTCTCTGCTCTTCAATAAGATCCAAGACTTGATTCCATTGATCTGCCTTGGACTTTTTTGTGATGATTTAAATCTTTTTGATTTGGGGTGCTTGCAGTTTTTCGGAAGTTGCACTTGAGCTGTATTGTCTGAACTTTTGACCACAAGCACTGTATCGTCGTACATTCGACCTCAAAGTTTGAATAATTACGTGCATGGTTATATACTTATATATACGCCACAAACTTAGCTTACACGTTTAATAGTGTTATTAGATTTGTTATTTTAATAAATTTATCCTATGGATTATAATGTATTAACAAAAAAAATCTAACCATAACTAACGTCATTCTAAAAAAAACAAAGAGATTAAATTTATCGACAATCAATCCTTATTATTGTGGATCTTTACAACGTCAATACTTTTCCTTTTTTTTTGCTTATATTTGTGTAACATGTAGCTTGGTTTACTCAAAGTTAAATGATTTTATGATTAAGTTGGGTATTTGTTTCTTATTTTTGCTCATAGTCATACAGTCATACTCTTCTTCTGTTCAGACCACGACAATGTGAATGAGGCTTAGCGATGAACCGATGATAATAACAATCCAGTCGAATAATGAATCCATAATGAATGTTAAAAAGACACTAACTAACATAGATCACAGAGAGAAAATATCTTACTTGCAATTTCACCAAGCTTTCATATGTTATATGAGCAGCCAAACAACTTCTAATAAGCGAAGGAGTTCAACATAAAACATAATTTATGGAAAAAAACAGAAATCAAATTCGAATCGTTAATTTTTTAACCATCAAATTCAAACTTACAATTTTCTAGTTTCGTGTACAAATCAAACATAATTGGCATACACATTTCACTTGATGAGTAAATAAACCTCTTCACAAACATAACCGAAGGTGAAAGATGATCAGCAAATAACAATGGATAAAGATTTTTTGCACAACCTTGTAATGCAAGATGAGATTTATGGCCTAGAGTTGTCTCCTCGCTCCTCATCTTTTAGAGCATCACTAAGGCTCTCTTTAGACCATTGCTTTCCATGTGTCTTTTTGGTAGTTTCACAAGCTCTCTGTCCTTTTTTTTTCCTTTCTTCTCTTGTATACTCATATTGTTTAATCTCAATTTCTCGATGTTTTTGATGTTTTTATGTGTTCTTTTTCCTTATTCTCTTTTCTATTTAATAGACTCTTTCATAATCTCTTAGTCTCTTTCTTCTCAAAAGCTTCTTATCCTTGCGCGGATATGGTCGCTACCGTAGCCCATATGCCTCGTCTCTTACCGCATCTCCGTCTCAGCCCTTACCCATCTCCTCCCAACTCTTACTTGCGTTTCGTCCCAAACTTTACATGTCCTGTCCCAGCCCTTACCTGTCCTGCCCCAGTGCTTACCCGCATTCCGTCCATGTCCTTACCCGTGCAGTCCCAGCCCTTATCCATCACGACCCAGTCAGTCATGTGATGTCTTGTATACATGTAACATTGCACGAAATATAATTGAACAATCCAACATAATATTTTTTCATATACTTGATTTAGCGAAACCAAAAGATAAAAATCAGTAGAAAAAAATCACAAACCAAACTAAAAAATTTCGATTTGAGAAGTACCAAGTATTATAGAGAGATTATGTTACTTCATCGAAAGTAGATTTTTGTTTCGTGTTAGATGACAAACCCTAAATTGACACAAAACTAAACTTTCCACTCATATATTAGATACAAAAATCTAATCGCATCTCAATCTAGGGTTTATCATCTGATTCTTCACCCAATGCATATTTTCCTAGACCTACTATCGATGATAGAACGAAATCATTTTTAGCATCTAAMTTTTTCCTCTGGAACACTCCATGATCGATCCAAAAAGCTTTCTACTTCAAAAATAATATGGTTTTGGGTGAAGTTTTAGCGAATTTCCAAAAATGCTTTAGACTATATGTCTAGGCTATTTTATGTTATCAAGTCTTATGTTCAGGAAGAAGGAAATTCCTACAAGAACACAGGTAAATATTTATCAATTTTACGGTGCATAATGCCAAGCTAACTTTATACGGAGCCTCCATCAAATTTTCCTTTTACAATTACAAACATTTTTATGTTGTAACCTAAACCTTTGCTATGTCTTACTCGATTATCAATCTATATCCCATGTCAATCTTTAAAACTTGGTTAATTTGTTCACCTTCCATGACACTTGCGTAAGATTTTTATATTTGTGTAAATATGCAGATTTTTGTTATTTTTTTTAGTGATGATGGTCATATGTTTAATATGTTTCAATGATTAAATCTTAAATGCATACCTTCCTTGGAACCTTATGTACAAAAGGAGTTTGGTCGAGCAGCGATACTAAACAAAAGCAAAACTGGATAATCACAAAACAAAATGGGTTT